TTTTTTTTCCGTAGGGCCTGACTCCCTGGCAAATCCGCATATAGATATAGTGACATTTGGAAGTGGAAAGCGTGCTGGGCATCAGGAACGGCCTTGTACTCCACCATCGTCAAGAGGCGACCAAGGGCTTCTCGCTGGTCTCTTGCCATCTTCGTTCGATTTTTCGCCTTTCATCTTCGCAGAGGACTTTTGTTCGAGTGGGCCGTATGCACGGGAACTGTTTCAAGAAAAATTTGTGCGAAATTCGTCTTGTTTGTCCCGTTTGTAGTGCGTATGCTATTATTTGATACTGTCATTAAGTGTTGTAGAAATTTTAAAGATGCAAACAGTGAATGATAAATAAGCATTGATTGACTGGGCTCTGCCGGCTATCGCTGAGTGAGATAAGCGCGGCGTATTCTGCTCATCGGATTTCACTTTCTCGTCCATCAACATCCATTGTTGTGCCGAAATTCATCGATCCAATTTGTTCCAGGTCCAATTTTCGCGGATGAAAAGCGTGGACAGTTCACATCGATGGGAGATTGATTCGACAACGCCCGACGCCGATGCTACTAATAATGTTCGAGAAGCGGCTGAAGTGATTCTTTTGGCAGCGGACAGTTTGAAAACAGCAAAATATGCCCAGACACTGTGGTACCTGGAACACATCAACACCGCAGTAGCAGTGGGACCAGCAACAAGCAAGGTGCGCTTTTGCCGTGAATTGCAGTTACTTGCACTGTGATTAAGTGGATGCGCTATGAATTTATCCTGAAAATCTCAGCTTTCTAGCTTCTCTGATTTCCGAGTCAGCAGTTATTACCCTGGGAAGATTTTCACGTGCCCGTACATGAGTACCACGCACATCTGGGAGTCTGAATTTGAAGTCGTTAGGTATGGGCCTTTGTAAATTGCACTGTATGTGGCAAATTTTCTTTTTTTTTTGGAAAAAATTGATGGATTATCAAAAGAGGAAGCCGAGGGATGCATCCATACGCCAAAAGAACTTATGCTAGGATTGTTTTGCTCTGTGTTGTTTGGAGATTGGAACTTGTGTTGTTGAGAAAATTAAATTCAGTTCAAAAACTAAATTCGGCTGAAACAGTGGAGGACACATAGCTAATAAAATTTTTACCAAGTTTCGAACGAAAAATTAAATTTTTTAAATACTATGAAGGAGTGCTTCAGATCCGTGTGGTTCTGGAGTGGGAGCGTCCAAAAATATAATTGAAATTTAAAAATTAAGGTAATTTAAAATATCTACAGTTCAAAAATTACAGACATTGCCAAGGGCCAAACTTCTTTGTTGAGAAAAGGATTGATGAAAGGATGGGTTTGAAACCGCTTACCGAAATCTCTGATATAAACCATATTTAAAGTGGTTCTATCAAAAAAAAAAAAAAAA